TCCTGCCAGGTCAGCTTCCTGCCAGCTGATTATAGATGTAACCCAGATGTAGCTTAAAATTTCAAGAAGACTTCAAGCTGTAACTTATACCAAAGAAGCAATTGCACTTTCTTCCCATGACGGCTAATTCCCACCTGTGCTGCCATCTCCACTATGTCAGCACTTAAATCCCAGTGCTGGCGGAAGGGAGGAGGAGGGAAGGATTGGGTGGGGGCCCAGTTTCAGTCAGGTGAGAAGAACCTTATCCTGTTCACACCTTGAGAGAACGAAATGCTTTCCAGGCTATTACTGGGTATATTAGTCAGGATGAAGAGGAAGAAGCATTTTTCCATTTGTATGCCCAAATTATCTGTGTTTTATCACGCTAAACAAAGAAAAGGCTGATGAGAGCCTGGTCAACTGATGCCTGTTTTTAATAACTACAGAGGGAGTTCCAGAAGACTGGAAAAGTGCGAAGGTTTTACTATTATTCAAAAAGCTCTGGATATGTATTTACATAAACATATGCTGATTAACTGGGTATCATTTTCAAAACAAAATGCAATAACTGTTTTCATACTCTGTTAAATGACAGGGATTTCATTATGACTGCTCACCATGCTTCTATGAAGAAACAGGTCAGACAAACAACTTTTTATTCCTTGATGAAAAAATGCTGATTTGCTGAAGACAATTTTGACTCTGTGCCATTCAAGATATTATCATTACATATTGTCTGTCAAAAATCACATAGATGAAGAGCTGGCTGTCAGCTCACAAAACCCACTAGTCCTTACAGAATCATCGTATTGTAGGAGCTCATACTGGTGTTCACGGGGATTAACACTGGGACAAAAACTACCCATTGTCTTCAACAACCATCTGGAAGCAAATATAAGATGAGGATGATATCTGATATGAAAATGATATCTGGTAACATTTGTGATGTGGTAGGTAACAAGGAAAGGGCAAACTGAATGCAATTTCAACTATCTGGTAAGCTATTCCTTCACACTAAGCATTAGTATAAAACAATGCAAAGTGCAATGGACTGCATGCTAAAAAATGAGGCTCTTGGAGAGCATGTGGGACAAGCAACGCTGTCAGCAGAGTGAACAGTCCAGGTTTCATTTCTTCTTAGCAGAGGAGGTCCTGGTGGGTTTGAGGGAGGCTCACAGTACATTTTCCTACACTTGTTAAAGCTGAAACTGCCCTAACTGCTCCCACTGGTGCAGGTTGCAGTGAGTGCAGATCTGCTGCCCGTGGGCTGTGCTTTTACCAGGCATTTCATTCACACACTGTTCCCTGCCACAGGGAGGACATTTCCTCAAAAACAAGGAGTTCACCAGAAGGTTCCAGAGAAAGGTTCACCTTTGGAAAATGCTGAAGCGTGGCAAGTCTAACCTGATAAACCAAATCACCATTTCACGTAAATGAAAACAATCTCAGTTACCAAACTGCTTCTTATAGTGCAAAGTTTCTCCTCACAGAAGTATTCTTTTCATATATTGTCAAATACTGCTGCTGCCCCTTCACTGGAAGGTGACGAAAGAGCACAACCCAGGCCAGTATGAGGCTGAGGAGAAAAGGGATTTAGAGACTCTGATATATTCACATGTATGGCCATACTGTTAAGGATGGTTTATCCCTTGTAGCTGTTCAGCTCCTGAGATCAAGCTTTTAAATGAAGGATGCTCAGAAGCAAAGCTCTTTAGAAGCTACTCACCTTGGGGGGAATTACTTACTGATCATGAACCTGACACATTTTCTAAATTATTTTTAAATACCTCCTGCTAATATTGCTTTTAACTATTTTGACAACTTCTGAAGCACACAGTACTGCAAACTTCAAGCCATTCTTTGCACTAAGAATTTATGGATCTAGAGAGAATTAATTTACTGGAAATTACATCTACAGCACTATAAAGACTTTGCCCTTAGCAGAGCAGGGTGGAAAAGTTGGCAGCCAGTTAGCTATCATTTCTCCCAAGGAAGGATGTTTCAAAAGTGATATAGAAGCAGTCTGTGAACTGTCTGTAAAGAGTCTGCAGTGAAATATGGATTTTAAAAAAAGTCACTAATGCTCTATTGTTTAACTTTGTTGAAAATTTCCTATTTAAGGTGAAGGAGAATTTCATGTCTGGTGAGTAAGCTAACATCAAATCATCAATAACAAAGAATTTTAGTTGTCTGTCCCTAATAACTCTTGATACCTGTCCACTTCTCAGGGTTGTATGTCTTCTCAATGCCATTAAGTCTAGCCAATTGCTTACACCAGTACCTTAGTCCAGCTTCTATACTACACCTGATCCCAGCTGGAACAAGCCCCGCTATTTTTTTTGAGCAGAGACACTTCCTCCTATAGTAGACTAACAAGTCAGTGGCTGTACCTGAGGGTGTGTTGTAAGCAGAGAAGATCCTGAAACGTAAGAAACCTTTTCATAGTGTGACTGGATAATCCAATTGGAACTTCCGAGAGCATAGCCTGAGCTGAGAGGGGTGACCTGCACAGCACCGAACAGCTCCTGAAACACACAGCAAGAGACATCAACTTGAGCGAGCCCCCGAGATAAGTCAGAACATGTCATTTTAGAATCATTTTATCATCAGTGACACCAATTCTAAAAGTAGTTCTTCTATTCAAAGCCATTATGAAGCTAGTTTCCCAAGGTTTATGTCTGCTGTTTTTATTTACCCGTGTCTAACAGGACATATGCTCTAGAAAAGCTTTTCCTCAGGTAGGGCCTTCATAAAGTCTCCCTTCCGTGTGAATTCTATGGCATTTAACTGAGTTCGCACTGAACCATAACTCTAAATGGAGGAATCAAGCGGGCTCTTGATCCTCTGCCTGCCTTTGCTGTACTGAATAAACGTGTAGGAGCTTTACATCTTTGAAGACTCTATACTCCCTTAGTCAAATTTTATTGACACTGGCCAGCAGGAGAGAAAGAAGGACAAGTAGTTCTGGACTGATGTAAAACTCTGTTTGAGTTACACATTTTGCTGTGGAAAACATAAACTTAACTTCAAACTCATTTTCTAACTTTATTTCTTTTTAAATGGTATCTACTGGTGATGCAGAAACAACTCCCTGCAAACTCCATCCAAATTCCAGTTTCAGCTCTGCGCATAAGCAGCCTGACCGTCTTCTCCTTTCCAGGTGTCATTAGAAAGTGTATGGCTTTATCTGCACACAGGGATGTGTTATACTTGTTTTCAGAAAAGGAAAGTAAGCCTTCATGTATACCTCACTAATGTGATCTACTTTCTGGTTACTGAATAATAGAACAAGCATCTGATTCATGCAATACTAATGATTTTTCTAGTATCTCAATACGTATTTGGATCCCTTGTAAAACAAAACAAGGTCTCCATCCCTCAGAGTGTGCAGACCAAGGCTCTAGATTCTGCTGATACACAGACATGTAAAGTGGACAACAAACCGTTCTTGATGCTGTCGTGTTTTGGGTTAACTAGCTAATTAGGGTCTGATTACTTTAAAAGTTTGCTTTCAGAAGAGATAAAACATGCTCTAGAAATGTATCTTTTTTCCCAACAACTGAAAAAGAATGACTAGCTCAGATGCAGAGATCTAAAAATAGGTGAGATGCGTCCACACTGTGAAGAGAGTCAAAAATGAACAGTAATCACCCATGGATACTGAGGAAGTCCAAATGCCCCGAACCTGCCCAATTGCTAGACAAAGCTGCAGCCGTTGCTTATGCCAGCACCCACGTTAGTGGTGGCTCGGGGTCTTTTTTCACCAGCTGTTTCACCACACAAACCCAAATCCACCTGATCTTGTACACAGCAGCACTGGTTACTCTTTCAAACTGTCTTACTCATTACTCTCCAAACTTTAGTGGCCCATTGCTTAAGAAAAGGAAGCAAACAAAAAGCTTTGGGTACACAACTTACTTTAACCCCTCTTTCTATTTCTTATGGCCCTGAGCAATAATAGCAGGCATCACAGCCCACAGCTGCCTACAAGCCATGAGGGAACAGTGTATCTGCAGACTACTGAATTGTTGGTTCTGCTCATTCTAGAAACTACACTGGATTATAGTCAACGGCATTACAGACACCAAACGGCATTACAGACAACAAATGTTAGCTGGGAACCCTGGGAAAGGAGTTTTTGAAGTTTAGGGAGAACCATTAGGTTTTGTTTACAATCCCTAATTTGCAGTATAAAAGAAAGTGGAGCCTAAAGCACTCAAAAGATTCCCAGAAGTGAGATACGGTAACTCAGAAGGGGATGTGGCTTACAGACAGAGAGGATACATTCATTTGGTACATCCTCCCAGCTCTCAGTGGGCCAGCCATCGACTCCAAATTCCCAGGCACACGGCCTCAAAATTGGCCTCCCTGAGGAAGAGGAGAAACAAATGGATACTCCCTGATTTCACCAAACAAGAACCCTTCCTGGGAGGGAGACTGAGGGACGTTCAGTATAATCTTGTCCTGCTTTCCTAGGCTAGGGTAACTAGATCTTACGCAGGATCTAGAGGGAAAATAGAAAAGGAAGGGCATTTCCAGAGAAAAGCTGGGAAACAACAAGCTGTTACTGTTGACCTGAGGACAGCTTTACAGGTACTCACAATTTTCTGAGAATACCCCACCAGCTGGATCTTGCTGAGTGCAGCGTTCACTTCTGGCATGGTGTAGCACTTCCTCCACATTGACACCTCCACCGCGTCCTTCAGAGGGGCGGGCAGCAACCTGCAAAGATCAACGGGGTGTGGGCATTTTCAGAACTTCCTGATGGACCACCAGCTTTTATTCCCATTTATATTCTCCAGATCTTAGATTTGCTCTTTTTTCTTCTTTTTATTTTAAATATAGCTGGTGCTTCAAAGTGAGCAGCAAGACTTTCTGCCTCTTGAGGAGCCGAACCACACTGTCCATCTTCCCGCACCCCAAAGACTGCTCCCCTTCAGCTCTCTTTGCTGTTGTTCCTATTCAGCCCTTTCATCAAAGAAGTAGCTGTGATGAAGGTGTTACAGCAATTCTTGTGGTATTTTCACCACAGATGAAAGATATTGGCTGATCTGACATGTCAACATGAAATGCACCACTAGAATTTGCAAAGATGACTGGGATCTTGGATCAGTGTCTATTTTGCATATCCTAAGGATTTGAAAACAAAAGCCACAATCTTGTGACTAAAATACAGGCACCAGAACAAAGGCTGGCTCTGCTCTCATTTTTGTCACCAGTGTCTTGCAAGAGCACATGCTCCTGCACCTCAGCTTCTTTGCCTTCAACTCGGATACCCCACTTGCCTTCCAAGTGTACTGGGAAGGACACACTAGCTGACACTGCAGAGCTCTTTGAAATCCCCTACACGGAAGTATTTAAGATGTTTTACACCAAAGTAAAATCCATCCATTCTGCTCTTCACAGACATTGCAAGTTAGCTGGACAGCGTTGTCAAGGGAAGAAGTGAACTGTAATGTCACAGCCTGTAAGAGAGATGGCTAACTTCTGGGAAATAAATCTTCCTTAGCAACATGAACCGAGGCAGGAAGCAGCACAGCTGCCAAATGCATAAGAAGAATAGGATTTTTTTTGTATATTAAACCAATGCTAAATCAAAGGCTAATTCAAACCAATTTCCAAAGATTTATGGAAATTGGTCAAGTTTCTTTGATCAATTTGTTTAAAGGAATTTAATTTATTGTTATATCTACTAGGTCAGTGAACTCCTCCATAATTTAAGACACTGAAGAAAGGATTAAGGCCAGTTATTGCCAAGACTGCTGTACAGGTCTAGTGTGATAACTGTAATTCCAGCACATGCTGGCTGAAAGCATACTGCGCTTAAGGAAACAAACAAAGCGTTCAAGGTCTTTTTTGGGAAGTCATAAGCAACAAAAGGCCAAACAATGTGGATAGTTGTCCACCATTGCACTGAAGCAAATTGCCTGTAAAAGCCTTTAACCTACCATAAGAAGCATTTAGTGCTGGATGCTTTCAGGAGCTTCTCTTCTGGGAAGAGGAGAATATATCTCCAGGTAATGGAGAAAAGTGGGGAATTGTCCTTGGTGATTGAGGTAAGTTTCTATTAGCCTTGACTCTGTGGCTACACTGTAAATATTCTCTGATCCCCAACAGAGACCAGTGGCACCAGTCTCCAGTGGTTTCATTCTTAGCAGGACAGTACACCAAGACAATGAGGACTGCTGGTTCCTCAGATGTGGAGTGAACCTACTAACACTACGGCAACATCCTATTATGGATCACCTCATAATAACCAGACATATATGGGCAGATGCAGGGACAGCCAACCTACAGCCACAAACAGGAAGGTCTCATGAAGCAGTGTGGTCCAGCGGTTAGCACACTAAATTTATGCTTAAGAAACTCAGAGGCTTGTATTCTTAATGAGAATCTGCACAGAAACAGTCCCTCCTGTTCAACGCAAAGGATAACATCTAGTATACGACATAATATCTTCTTGTTTGAAGGGAGAAGAGGATGGCAGCACCAAACTAGATCAAAATGCTGGCCTCTCTTGTCCACTACAGGAAACAGGCTGTTTCAGCCACTTTATAGAAAGATATAAGAAACCATCAAACACGCAGTTGACAAAGTGTTTTTCATAAGGCAAACTTCCTCTTTCACCTCCTGAATCCTAATCAGTGTGAAAGATATCCTGGTCGAGCATGTACAGAGCTTCCGTGAGATTGCTCACTTAACATGAAAACCAACAGTAATAAAACTTGCTAAGTAATTAGTTCAGACTGAATCTGATAATGGAAAAACGTAAGCCACTATAGTGAGCTTATTATATTTTATACAGTATTTGCATTTAAAATGCTTCAATGCTTTATCTAATGAAGATTATAATACTTTGTGTTTTATACTAACTATTCAGAGCAGAACTAGCTGAACCGTAAAGCAGTATTGGTGATGGATCAGCCTGAAAAATTGAAGTTAGACTCAGAAGTAATAAGTATTCTGTTCTAGCAACAGCCAAGTATTTAAAAAAAAAAAATCACCAAGGAACACATTTTCTTAAGTAACGGATGTCAGTCCAACCCTGCATGTGCTATCAGCCAGTTGTTAATTTGTGGATCAGTAGATGTTTGTTCACATGCTATAATAATCAGTTCCATTCACGCTTGCATGACACTTGTCACCAGGAATCTCAAAACACTTTGCAAACATTAATTAAGTCCCTGTATACCCTCTGTGGTGAGCAGGAGCTCCATTTTACAGAAGCACAAGGAGCTGAAGGGGGAAACTTAGAACACAGGTGGGGCACAGCTGGACAGGGCATTCAGATTTGTCCCCCTGTTCCAGCTCACAGAAAACACGGGTTTGTACCAGCCTCAAGCAGAGTTTATGATACACAGATGTATGTTACTGAATAGCTGCAGAGCTACAAGTTATGTTTTGCTATCCCCACTAGCGTAGCATTTCTTTGTTCTGCCTCTACCTCATATTTGGGCAAGGTGCGCATTTTACTTCATCTGATCAAGGTTTTCAACAACATATGATACTGTGGCAGTGCTCTGGGCTCTACAGAGGTCTTGTAAGTGAGACAGAAGGGTTGGTCCTGTCTATCCCTAGCGGAGGGCCCTTCTGCCTCCACTGGTAACCCCTTACAACAACTACTTGATGTACCACGGAGGAACCGTCAATGTTAGGGCACTTCCCAAGCAACATAAAAATGTATTTTAAACACGGCTCCACCAAAAGACTCCAGCCTCCTGTAGCAGTTGAATCAGAACAAAGATCACCTCTCTGTGTTCGCCTCTGGAATAGTCAACAGCACATAAAGTGCTAGGCAGCACTTCTTCTAAAATACGACCACCAGGAAGTGACATTAAATGAGCTCTAAGATATATGAGCCTCCTTTAAACCATGCATACAAAACACATGCAGCAGTGTGATGAGAATAATGGCTCCAGTTGTCTCTCTGCACATCACTGTGAACTTCAGGAGCAGTTCTGGTCAGGCCAGCTGACTCCAAACTTTAAAAATCTACAATTCTGATCAGAGTCTACATCAACTAGCACAAAATCCGGATCAACTTTATTGTCTTTAGTTTTGTTTTAAATCTGTGTTTTACTTGCCTTCTTCAGAAGAGTGACAGTCATAGTCCTGAGATACGGCTGCTTCTAAGCTCAGCAGTAAAGTACAATATATGGCTAAACATGCTAATTTGGATTTTTAATTTCTTTGCTTTGTGATACTGGAAAATATCAAGGTTACTTTTATAATCTATGAAATCATTTTTTGTAAACTTTTAAATCAAGCCACATTAAGAATTAGGAATAGAAAATGGGAGATCAATTAAAAATGCACAAAGCACCTTTTAAAAATAACTTTCTAATCAGCCAGCCCCATCTTTAAAATGTGCTAAAAATGAAACTGTCTCCTCCATAGAACACGTTGTGCACCTAAAGTTGTTTTTATTTCCAAGGAAAGCATCATCTGCAATTAGTAAACTGTAGGGATAATTTTTGGATTACATAGGCTTTCAAAATTTTAGATGGAGAAGATCTTGATTTTGAGCACCTTGCTTGTTTTTACATATAGATGGAATAATGGACACAGAGTTTCCAACTAATCCTTTTTATTCAGATTTCAATTTGCTTCTAAGCTTTGAAAAGCCAAGAAATCCACCTCTGCTGCTCAAGCATGAGAGGCTGTTGTGTTTTGACTTTCTTAGCATTTCAGCTAATATGAATGTAAATATCATTTTAAATTAAAATTATTCCAATATGATATAGCTAAGTTTAAATAGCTTTCTGATTTCAGCAAGTTAAAAAGTTAATACAAAAATCTGCTAGCTTTATCTGCTATTATGGAGCTAAACTATGCGGGGGGAGATCAAGGGAGATTTTTGTGTTAACAAATCTCCCTCCAGGAATCAAACTTGTGTGGTTGTTTGGAAGACCAACAATGTGCAAATCATTAAAGAAGGAACCAGCACAAGGAGTCAGAGCTGCAAATCTGTTAGGCTTTTTTTTTTTATCTTGATGGTAGTAGCAAATTCAAACTCAAACAGTGGCAGCTGACCCACCATTACAGTGAATTCTAAACTTTGGTTAGTATTTTAGGACATTCACCCTTGCCAGGTGGCTTGTTCCTTACCTCTGTACCTCCTTGTTCTTCCACATGGAGGCAGACTGAGCCTTTGGCACACGTTCAATGGAATTCACCAGTTCTTCCATGAGAAGCCTGAAAAGACACCATAACTAAACTAGTATTGCAGCCTTTCACATGGGAAAGAACTTTGTCCCAAATGTTTCCGAAATGTCACACAAACTGTAACACTATCAAGCAGTTCTAAAGAGGGGTTCTTCCCGCAGAGGCATTGCAGCAACTACCCCTCACCGATACTACCCCCTTTCCTCCACTGAGGGTTTCAAGCTCAAGCCAGTCCAATTCTGTCTGCCTGGTTGTGACAGCAGAGGATCTGGCCCACTGGGTTACGGGTTATTTGGAAAGTGACAGGACAAGAGGAACTGCCAAATCTCTCCTGCTGTGCAAGATGATTTCTTCATTACAGACTGCTTGTCATATGGAATGAGACAAAATATATGAAGAAAACTTGCTAGCTGATGCCTGTTTATCACTTGGGGAAGCCAGCATGTTGTCAGAGTGAACTCTGCTCATCTACAAATGCACAATACAGAGTTTGAGACAGAAAAATATGTCAGGCATCAAAAAGTGGCACTACAGATTTCACTGTCCAAAACCAAACAGCATTTGTAATTGTACGCATGCTTCCCCTTAAAGGTAGGAAGTGACAGACTCAACTGTAGAAGAATGGCATCTGGAATGACCTGGGGTGGGGAGAACCACGCCAGTATACTCTCCAACAAGACTATGCTTGTTATCTTCAGCTATGGGCCAGCAATACCCCAGAGGTCTAGTACTAGCTTATATTTATACAATTCCTTTCTCCTACAAGGGCCTTCAGTTTCTGTTTGCTTTTACACAAAGGGAGAATTATTCTGGGGTGGAAAGTTTGTATAGGACCTTTAACAGCCAAAGATTCCTGCCCGAGAGTGCTTACAGAGTGGTTCAGATACCATGGCCTAATCTGCTTTCTAATTACTGAGCATGGCAGCTGTTCTGCATGAGAGATGCACACAGCACAAGTCCAGTCAGACTTCAACGAGGGCCAAACCTGCAGCCTTTGGTACTGACCTATCCAATCAACAGACAACTTTGGAAGAAAAGACTGACAAATTTGATGACCAAGTGCTAAGTTCTTGACTGCGCTCTCAGGTCTTACATTTTCTACTTTAGTTTCACATTTCTGCTGGTTTTCTTAGTGCTTGTCTTTGGAGCTCAGAGCTTATGCATCTGAACTGCCATTTGAGATGGAGCTAGCTTAAATTCCCTTCCATGGTGTGGAGGAGAGTGTGATTATATGAATTTCAAATGCTGAAAACCTACAATCTTAAAGTAATTTATTGTTGAAAAGATTGGTGATTCCTCTTTTGTTTAAGGGGAGCAGAGAGGAGCAGGAGAGATATTCAATTCATGGTTTTTGAAGGTTTGAAGTTGGCTATATGGTAATTACTACTCAAGGTGTCTCAGTCCTCTCAAGATCTACTATCCCACACCTACCGCCTGGACTCAGTACAAAGCACCTGCTGTAAATGTTGAAGATGGATAGTTCCAGAGGTTGGGAAACATTGAGTTAACACATTTGCAGCACTAAGGACTTGGCTGGCATTCAGCTACTGCCTAAGAGCCTCTTCGGAACATTAGACACCACTCCTCTACTCATATTGTCCTTTACACCTTTGCCTTAGCAGTGATGAAAGAGGAATAGAGAATATTAAGGGGCTTTTTACCTGCCAATTTGAACCGTGGGCTCAGTAGCATACACTGTTCCAGTGAATCCAGTGTACTCTGTGATATAGGGCAACGCCATCATGCAGTGATAGTTTGAGATCAAGATTACATCCACCGTGGAGAGGTCAAGCAGCTCAGTCTGAAAACAGAGGAAAGAGATAAGCGACATGTAACCCTTTCAATGCAGTTTACACAATGGTAGAAAAACTTCTTGTTCTTTTTTTTAAAACTTTATATTGCACCATTGTAACCAGATTATTAAAAAAAAAAAAAAAAAAGTGGGGAGGGCATGTCTCAGCTGTGGCAAAGATTAACAAGATTCATTTAAAAATTATTCCCTTCTCAGATCTGAAAAAGAAACCATGTCCTGGGTTTGTCTGTCTTTCATGTAATGAAATGGCTGCCGCTAAGAGAAGCATCTTTGATCAAAGAACTGATGTGTGTGCTTCTTCAGGGGGAAACGTTCTGCCCAGACACTAAACTTCTGCAGTAGCAATTTAGCAGGGCATCTCTCATTTTTCATGGTACTGTACCCCAGGAGAGTGAGAGAGATGAATGCAGATTGTATTTATTCATATATTTAAAATATTTCTCCTATTTTCCCCAACTAAATGCTTGTCATCTTCATTATTCACATTTTCTAAAGCAAGAGATCAAGCTCATTCATAGGACACAACAAAACACATGGGTGGGTCCAATTTGTTTTGACGTGACAGTTAAGACAGCAGTTCAGAGAGTGAAAGAAGATTTCACACATTGTTAAAGGAATTTTAATTAGAAATATTTACTGGTAATGCTACAACACAAATGGTGTCAAGACAGAAATTCACAAGATATATGACCTCTAACTCAGTTATTATAGAGCAGCTAATGGAATTCAACACTCATCAAGCACATATTATCTGATTACAAGGCTTGGTCCAGCAATTTGAATAAAAAAGGCAAGAAAGTAGGTCATTCGGCTTTTCAGAGGGCTGACACAGTGCTCTGGTGACAAGCTGCTTAACTCCCAGCTAAGCGCTCATGGTTTCAGTCCATGATCACAGCTGATGTTGGCGGCATGATCTTCAAGCGGAGTACAGGAGGTGAAACCCCATCCTCAGATTCATGACAGGGAATCCTTTTATCTCCCTAAGCTTGCCAGGCAGAAATACAAGCACTACATGGTATCAAGGAGTCTTCCAATGCCTGCTGCTACCAAGCTGGCCTTTCACGGCTTGGTTTTCAGCTGTGTCCAGACCATACAGAATAAAACAGGGAGTCACTCAGCCCTGAGGTGAATCCCAGCCCAGCCAGCCGTCAGGAGGATACGGACTACCACCTTCCAAGCTTAAGCATCCCACCTCTCAGAATCCTAGAAGCATTTACTAATAGGATGAAAAGGGTGTCAAAACCAAAACAAAGTAAAATCTTCCCTGGGACTTGCGGCAATCTCACTAAAAGTGCATATGAACAGAAGAGGTTTAAAAACGTTTCCTGAAGGTGAAGTGAGAGAGACCAGAAGGTTGCCAAGCAAAGACAGGGCTGCACCCTGCTCTCTGACATGTGGAAGAGTACTCTGCTGCTGAGACAGCCCTTATCACCTCGTGGCTTCTGGATTACGTTCAAAACTTGGCTTTCTTTGGCAATGGTGTTCCTGGAAGTGATACTGTGATTCTCAAACTAACTGCTTTTGCAGAAAAGTTTCTTCAAAAGAACTGGCCTGGAAGGAGAAAAAGAAGAAGACAAAGCCTCTTTCACACAAGTTCCTTCTTACGCTGCCAAACACCAGCAACATTTCTACTCTGCTGATGCATTCAGCTGGCCATGACATCTGAACCCTGCTCCAGACAGGGGAGCCTGTGAAGCCAGAGATGGGAGCTGTGTATCACCAGCAGGTCTGCTCCTCATGCTTGCAGAGAAGATTTGGCACCTGTTGGGAACTTTGGGAACTGAAGCATTTCAGAGGCCATTTGTAAATTCCCTGCAATGGTGACCTGTGCAGCTGGTTGCTGTCTTCTAGTTGTTACATGGACTGCTGGGACACAGAGTTACGTTCAGTGATGATATTGGTATAATGAAGGAGCAACTCCCTGTCAGTAATATTTATCGCTACACATGTGGGTATTTTCCAGCCCAATAAAGTAACCAGAAAGCCTACCTGAAGCACCTTAAACTCCAGATCACGATTTCTGTGCATGGCCTCAATTCCAAAGGGAATCAAGAAACTAAACTCCATCCTTCCCAAGATCTGGGACATAATGGCACTTTCTAGGCACACAGATGCTTCCTATGTCCCTCCCTTCCACAAGCCAGTAACCAGGAAGGTCGTAAGAGCCCAGAATTATTAGTTGGGCATTTTTTTGTGTCTGTGATTCGATTATATCTATTCCTGTTAGGGAAAACGAGCAATTGCACACAGGTCTGTTGATATCACTTGCCAAAACTAGTACCAGAGCTGCCAACTAGATTTGAAGAATCGAGATGACAAAGAGTCAGAAGCTGAACAGGTGAGTTTCATGGAGTCAACAGACAGAAACGCTGCTGCCAGAACCCCCGCAAGCTGCCAACAACCTTCCAGGAGTGTTTTGTACTTTCTGTCAACAAGGTCAGGCAGAAAGGAAAAAAATTGCTTCCCAAAAGCAATCGTCTCTGTCTTTGAAGACAGAGAAAACATCCCAACATGAAATGAAAGAACTGATGTTATCACAGTCTGGACACAGCTGAGGAAAGAGGATACAATTCCCAGACTATTCCCCATCATTCATCCCCGCCACTCTCTGCTCAGCTTTTTATTCCTTCAGCAGTCCTACATACACCATTAACCTGATCAGTCAGGAAAGCCCAACTAATTCAAACATTTTCAATAGTCTTACATTCTTTTTTTAAAAAAAACCCCAGGTATTCTTGAAAAAAACAGCTTGAGAAGCAGCTACTTGCAGTTACATCAGTGGATACGAAGATACAGTTCTTCCCTCAAAGAGGCAGTGATGAACAGCTAAGAAGGCAGCAAAACTTTTTAACCTAAATTTGCTGCCAGCAGAACAGCATGTCTGACTGCAGCTCAACAGAATCACACAGTGGCCTAACCACACGGTCGGCTCCCCAGGGGAGCACCACCAGGCAGGTCATGCATCTGTGGTTAGAGACAAGCAGCCTTCCTTGTCTTCATTCACTGCCCTTATCTAGATCAGCACATGTATCCTGTCATAATTGAGCCCAGCTCAGTCACATTGTCTTTGGAAAGCCCAGAAAAAGGGACAGTTAAGTCTTATTTTTCTGTGAGATATTGATCTGCTCAAGGAGACATTCCAGATCTCCCAAAACCCCTGCTGAAAAGGGCTGTTTCCATCCTTTTTCCAGTGCCGTAGATGCTAGAGGCACCTTAACAACACAGAGGTTTTAGCAGTATTATTTACCGAGTAGTAATAAATTAGCATGAATCTGATAATGACTACTTAGCAAATTTCTCCCACATGATTGAATAGCGTCCGATTTTTCCGCAAGGCTTTGAATAAACTCACCTCTGGTAAACAGAACTCAGGCACAGAGTCTACAAACACATGGCCGGAGCACTCCTTTAGTTCCTGTGAGAAAAGCACATCAACAGAGAAGACACAAAAATACAATGCAATATTACTCTAATACAGCAGATTTTGCATTTTCAAAACCTTTTCTTTATCACAGGTAATTTCCAGCCCATTACTACATTATGTTTATTCCCCTTCTAGATACAATTTGCTCTAAGCAGATCTGCTGAAATTGCTTTCATGCGAGATGAGGCTGCTTAGTACTTCAAGGAATCAGATCCTCGTTTGGAGGAACAGGAACAGCACTCTGGTAGGTAAGGAAAGAGACTCCAGTAACCACTGGCTAGTTTTGCTGGGGCCGTGAAGAAGGTGCTGTCCTATGAGGCTGCATTTTCTCTGCTCTTATAGCTGAAAAGTGGGTCATGAAGACCACTCTTCTTGGAACTGCTGCTCTCCTGACCTGGAAGGTGTGCACAGCACCTTTAGAGTGCCCTGGCTATCTTACAAGTTTGGAATTTAGTTTCGGTTCCCAATAACATCAAATCTTTTCTGTCTTATTAGGAGCAGCATACAATTTTTAGCCCCTATTTCAGAGCATTTGATGAAATATCTTTCAGGGATCTAAGCTCCACATGGCACTTCTTGTTAGATTTATCTCTACTGGATCTCTAGCCCTCTATTTTCCTTCTCTTTTTTCAAGGCTGACATAAGAAAGCTTTGTCGTATGAAAAGTCAAATTCTTCAAGATTATGTATGTAACAAAAATATTCCCAACTCTAGTCCTAACACACCTCACAGGCTACCTATCACCCACCCTGCCTTCTCTCGTGGATGCTTCTCTTGCTTGTCCCAAAGCGAGTGGTCTCAGACAGCTTCAGACTGACAGAATTAAAGATTGAATCCAATTCTTAATAATTACAGTGTACCTGCCAACTAATAACGAATGAGCAATTACATCTAGTGGCAGAAGTCTCCCAACCTCATCTCGAGGGAGTTCAAAATGATTAAAACCAGATCGCAGCAAATTTCAATGCCTCTCCAGGACTTAAGTTTTATAACTGTCATCCAGAGAGTGCTATAACAGGAATGTCCACCTGACATGATAAAACATCCCCCTTTGACTCCTTCCCTTGCCTTTTTCCAGCATGGGTCAAAGAACTTACCATTCCAAGGAGTTACAATGGTCAAGGTGAAGGTAAGAGATGCTGCCTTTGAATTTTTAACACTATTTCCACTGATGCTGTGCAAGTTTGAAGATTTCTCCGGAGCACACACTGCAGCAGCAGCGCCACAGAAATGTAAATACATCACATATAAAAACATACTGGCAGCCTAACCATTCTTTGGACAGAATGGAGCTCAAAGCTCTAAGACCAAGGCTGAGGTTAAGGAGAAACAAATTCCAGGGAATTCTAACTGGGCAACTCCATTCCTGTCACTGAGCCTCCATTGCTCTGTGATTCCCAGTTAGCATGTACTCTGAATAGAGCTGTTACTATTTTACTAACAGAAATGCTACCTATACAGTTTCCTTTGTCTCCAGTGAGAAGAAATTTTGGTCTTTAATCTATGATCTTCAGCTCCCTTGCCTGAGAAAATCAGATCAATCCATTTTGTCCACCTCAAAGTCCCTACAAAAGCAACTATTATTACTGTTTTCCTTTAATCTTCACACAGTCAGAGAACAGTCTATTAAAACAGTATATTCTCTACCGATACCTATCGCTGCACACATTTGAAATGTATCTGCCTATTTTACTAACATCTGACATATTTTTGTGCTCATTGTTCCCCTATGGCAGATCAAGCTGGACGCTGCAGTGTCTAGTTTTGGTTGAAGCCCCAGATAAATTCTGCCTACAAAACTAATGGAATGAAAGGGGGAAAAAAAAAAAATTCTGTGTCTTTCATGAAGCTAAGTCCTGTGTCTTAGAATTAGGAGGCTGGTGATAATATCCTCCCTGCTATGTCCAGCAGTAAGAACACATTGATTTCAGAGGCCAAAGCCATGCTTTTCCTCTGTAAGAGACCTCTAATGGGCAAACCATTCACTTTCTCATAGTTCTCCTGCCTAAAAAAAGGTATGGTACTAACCTCATTTATAAGGATACTATGAAGCTTTAGCATCAGAAAAGCAAGTCTGTCGAAAAGGCACTCGAAGAAGGCAAAGTACGATTATTTATGGAGCTCCATGAAATAAAAAAATATTCATACTGATGATTTCTGCATTTTAAGAGGATTTCTTAAAAAGCTAGGCTACCTCTGAAGACTGAAAGCCTCAGAGTTGCTATTAGCATTTTGTTTCAAAATGTTCTGCTCTACAAGGACATCAGGCTGGTAAGGGTACACACAGAAACCTTTGCGATGAGTCAGCATGGAGGTATTGTTCTTGCAGTGCAAGCTCCTAACCTGTCAAGTAGCTTTTTCCACAGCAAGAAAATCGTAACCAACAGTATAGTACCTTGTCCAGAAATGTGCTTCCATCTTTCAAAACCCAACCAGGAAGTTTGGACAGCCTGGGGCTGCAGAAAGAGAGAAAAAAAAAATATTGCAGTATTAATTATATCATTATCAGTCACTCAGCATAGTCCTTTCTTTTGGTGTCATACAGGAAGAGAACACCATTTCTGTCTCAGGGAACTAACAATCTCAATAAAACAGACAGACAGTTTCACTGTGTTTAAGTGTTCACTGAAATTACTTTTACAAATCATGATTATGACACTTAAAAGTAAAAAGAATAAGAGGACAATGCATACAGGGAGTTTGATTTTAGTCATTTACAGTGAGAATTTCAAAAAGGCTCAGTGCTGCTTATGTTGTCCTGTGGCTCTAAAAACAGAAGAAGGTTTAGTGCAGCAACAAACTCTGTGCCTGAAACAATGCAAAAGCACCGTAAAGCTTCTCCGGGACAGAAGACGACAGACAGACATTCCCTTTAGCAATAGCAGGGAAAGACCAACACTCTGGACTCGGTCATTTATAGACACAGAGGCTGTGATTTTATATCCACGTAAACCGTGGGTTCATGCTCAGGTCTCACCCTGAAGCCCCACCCCAACAGCTGTACAGTGCACTTACCTGTTTTGGAAGGAGAAAGGGGCAAGGAGGTTTTGCTATGAACCGCGTGTTTTAAGCTGGCAGGTCTAGAACCCGTCAGCAATGACAGGGCCCCTTTTTTGAATTTTTTCAAATGCTAATAAAGAAACTTCAAGATGGACATTGTAATCACAAGTTTTCAGTAGTAACTGCTGCAGCATTTCTTGCTCCCATAACTGAGAGATTTAGCCATACTTCAGTGACATTTCATTTTTGTGTGAGCTTACAACTTAACCCTAAACCCACTGTCTACCCAGATTCAAGCATATCTACAGAATCCAAAAAAGAAAAAGTTGTGGAAACAAGAGAATTGAACCTGCCTGGAACCAAGCCCTGCAACAACCTCAGATTGAGACAGAACTCGAGAACCTGGTCGCAATGCAATCTGCAAGTGTTGCGCACTGAGCTCTGTAGACAGGTGTGCTTATATGCTAGAAGGGCTTTCAAACTTAAGATCTTGAAAATAGGAAGTGATTCAAGGGCTCAGAGGAATGTTGTGTTCAGACTAACATCAGTACAAAAGAAGAAATCTTAACAGGCACTCCAGAAAGTCACAAGGAAGGAAAAAGGGGAAATCTAAGACTCAAGGAGTGAAGACAGAAGGTAAAAGGTGAGAGCAAAAGGATATGTCATTGAGAAGTTATGCCAGAGAAGTGCAACCCCCTTTTGAGGATAAAGAGTAAGTCTGAAGAAGTCTGGTGATAGAAAAGATGAGGTGGCTAAATGTACTCCCCACAGACACATTCAAAAGCACAATTTAAGAGCAGTATTTTGGAGACTGAGGGGGCTGCAGAGAGACTAAAAGAGCTACGGGAAAAGCAAGGAAGAAGCAAGAACAAACCACTCTATTATGCAAAAACCTTGACAGATAAGGGAGGACAGAAACCCTGGTTGGAAGGGACGTCTGGAGGTCTATAGTCCAGCGTCTCAAAGCCAGCACTAGACCAGGCCAGCCATGGCTTTGTCCAGCTGAGTCTTGCAAATCCCTGAAGCATGAGATTCTAGAGCCTCTCTGGGAACAGGTGAAAGTGCGAAGAAAAACTTCATCACTGGGAAGCTAATGTCCAACCCAAGCCTCTCAAGACACAGTTTGTGGCCACTAGCCCTTTATACTGCCTGCCACCATCAAGAAGGGTTTGGCTTTGCTGCCTTTGTAACCTCCTTTCAAGCAGATGTAGGTGGCTGTTAGCTCCCTGACTAGCCTCCTCTCCGCCAGACTGAACAAGCTCAGCTCCTTCAGCCTCTCCGTGTACTCATGGGCTCTGGCCCCTGACCATCTTGGCGCCTCCTGAACGCCCTCTCCAGTTTGTCAGCGTCCCTCTTCAATTGGGAATCCAACCCTGGATCCATTTGTGGTTTCACCAGCATGAGGCAGAGTGGAATAAACTTTCCTTGATATGCTAGCCCTGCTCCCCCTGATGTAACCTACTACACTGTTTGCCTGATTCATGATGAAAGAGCACTATCGACTTGGGCTAAACCTGGCATCCACGGAAGAGCATTCTGTCTTGTCAAGAGAGGCAAAATTAACAGATAGGTCTTGAGTCCGGGTGAAAGTGGAAATAAGCAACACAGGACAGAAAGGACTCTTTACCTTGAAGCCAAGAAGCAACACAGCTCCCGCCGACATAGTTTTGACATTGTAATAGAGTGATTGATTAATCCAAAATAGCTAGAACTGTCCCATAAATAATGTGAGCAAGTGTGTCACGGCTAGACAGGAAAGGTTAAGAGCTTCCCATATGTTCATTTTACCGTTTTGCATTTGACTTTGGTACAGGGGAGAAAATTCCAGTTGACAAACCTCCTTTAAAGTACATGAACTGGCATAAAGTGTTTGGAAACTGCAGGCACTTTGCACATGCTCCATGGGCTGGTGAGAACAAGGACTGCTATTTCCAGGACAAGGTGGAATCTAAATACCTTTTGACCGGCTTCTTTTGAAGAGCAAAGAACTCTGAAAAATTTCCAGTCCCTTTAATGACATAACACTACAGCACTTTCCTCTCATAGATTAAAGCATAGGCTCTCAAAATATTTGCTCAAGGAGGGTCCCATGCCAGGTACAACACAGGATTTACCTGCATAGCAAAGATCCTCTGTAATATCATACCTTTATGCTCCACAGAGGTAAAACTTAGGGCAACTCCGCAGACCACGTACTGAGACTTGCAGAACCCAAGTGGTTCATGGATCATACTTTGGGGAGCTCTGGTTTTAAAATGGCAGAGCATAGCTCCACTCTGGTTAGGATTTCACATGGATCTCAACCTAGCAGCACATCTGGTTGTAAGAGGACATACACCTGGTAATAATCTAAGATCTGACAGACATGTTCAAATTCTTGCACTGCTACATGCTTCACGTGAGACCTCAGGCAGTCAGTCCTTCTTGTAGTCTCTCACCTGGAAACTGATGATAATGTCAGTTCTCTGTCACCTCGCCATGTTATGTTGATAATAGACATTTGAATTTCAGAGGCATTTAGACATCGTGGTAATGGAGACCTGATATCTAATGGTACAACTATGAATACTATAGAGAGATAAGGACTTTTTAGTGGCAGCCACATTCCTCTTCAAGTTTCTAACTCATTTCCACAACTCCCTGCAGGAGATCTGTTTTGTAGAGTACTGAAGAGATCGATTACTTGCCCAAAGTCCATGTGCTTAGGACAATCCTTGCTGTAAGGGGTGTTCAATCACCTTAGCGACAAGATTGATTGGATTTAAATCCAACTGTTTGCTCCAATTCCACTGGGCCATCAGGGGTCAAATCTGACATCCTTTCTTATTGAGTTTGAGTCATTTTAGTGCAGACATTCTGGAGGTACTTGGGGAATTCCAGGTTGTGACCTGCAATTTGGCCCTTCATTCCCAGGGTCTGCTATCAGCAGACAAAGCTGGCATATCCCCGGGGAGCATTGATGCCTGCAGTTCTAAAGAACCTCTTAAGCTTTTTTTCAATCACCTAATTTTGCTACTTGTTCCTTTCTCAATTGCCTTTTTCTATGGCGGGTGGCAGAAAACGAATGCAAGGCGATTCTGTCTGTACCTGGACTTCCCAAATTTTCTGGATCCCTTCAAAATCTACTACTGCCACTAAAAGGTGTAGGTAACGATTACATCACCGAATGGGACAAAAATTGACTATCTCACTGATCCATCTTAAGGCATCTGTTGCCTCCTCTACAGCAGATCTTGAACTCCACATTCCTGTTCTTGCAGAACAATGCACACATTGTCTATTCTTTTCCTCTCCAAAAAATGACAAATCATAGGAAGTGCTGGACAAACTGCTTTCACCTCATTATGTCACTTAGGAAACTCCCTTTCCCAATCATATTCTCCCCCTCTCAGTCAAGCCTCCCCTGAACTCAGAACACTCCTCACTTGTTTCCTCATGGATCAAAGTCACTAACTGGTTTTTGGGAAAACTCCTACTGCTTCTCATCACCAAGAGTCACTCATTCCCACCCTTCCAACCCCTCATTTTTGTAATTTATCCAATTTATGCAAGACATAAGTCACTCTAACTGAATATCCAAATTAATCTAAAAACCTGGGAAAATACAGCTTTGTAGTTAGGGCACAGAAGGGGGAGTCGATCCCAGGATTGTCTTCTAGACTCTACTTCTGTTTCACTGCCATTCCATTCCTGTGCCCAGCTGCACTGCCCTTTTATTTATTTAATTTTTTAAAAGGAACAATTACGCCATCAAGTCAACTAACGACGTTATTTTTCTTTACATTAGATTGTGCTCTGAAGAAAAGCCTGAGAAGACGGTGGTTAAACAGTACTTGCTGCTCCACACACTCCATCTCAGTTACCCATTTATCTCATCTTGCATGAAGAAGCCAGAAAGATGACAGATATGTGACCTCACTTGTGCTGAGCAGTTGCAGCAATACTTTACTGAAGCTTAGAATAAATTATCTAGAAAAACCAATCAATAAATCCATAAAATGTCTTCCGTCTACTAAGCCAAAGGACGTTATTTTGATAAAGAGAATTTTTAAGTGAACAAAGTCTATTTATGATATCAGATGATGCTGTTCATTTGTACTCATCCCCTCCCTCCTTCCAATACACCATTTCACGCAGAGCACTCCAACTGCAACCCAAGAAGACACAGACTAAGTGCTTACAGGCTGCAGAACATACCTCTGAACCAGTGGCAAGGGGAGGAAATTGAGGGTAGACGTCATATCCAGTCCGCAGTCCAACATGATGGTGGTGGATTTGAACTTGAGTACATTGCATGGCAAGGTTGGATGTCCCGACAGGCAGTACTGAAAGAGGAATATGAGCATGAGTTACTCATGACCTTTACCAACAGAGTGAATCCCCCTGAAAATTACCTTTTTCTCCTTATTTTTAAATATGCAGTTTCATACAATCTGGAAAAAAACCTGACTTCCTATGTATCTGCATCTCACAGCTGTGTGTGTTCTTTGAAATTTCCCCATGTTCAGGGTATTAAGGGGCAGATTTTTTTCAGACAAGGTTTTTTGCTCACAAAGGCTGAGAGGATGGCATAGCTCCTCTCTCCAACTTACGACATGTGTAGAATCTCTTTTTTTCTCACAACCACCTATTTTCACAAAAATACAAGAAAATCAGTATATTTAAAACTCAACTGGCAAAACGTGGCTGAAATTGGCTGGCAGATTTGTAACTTACCTGTGATGGAAAGGGAAGGAGAGAATCCCTGCAGGAACACAAATTTTATCTCCTTAAGAAACCAGACTAAACAACCAAACAAGGTGCAGCCCACACCTTTGGTGGCTGCTTGGCACAGAGCAGCAGAGGAAGCTGTACATGTGCGGAGCAGCAGCTCTGGGGCATGCTCTCACCTGCTTTTTGTCTTGCTAAAGGCAAACAGGAAACGCCAGGGAAGGAACAACCATACCTGAATGGAAGGGTTTGTGTACTGAGAAATCCCAAATGCTTTGCAAGCTTAATGAGCCAGTAAGCAGGTTATGTACAGGGGCCCTTCAGCATCATTGAGATGCAGTCACCTCTTGTACAGAGAGTGGCAAACATTTAACAAGGCACGGGAGCAGCTGAAGCTCTGAATAAGAAGAGAAGTGAATTAAAATGCCAGCTTTAAAATGTGGGATTAGAAACGTAAATGCCACCTCCGCATGAGGGTTTCTCCTCTCCAACAAGGGATTCTGTGGTCCTTCAGGGATTGCAAGATCAGGAGATTTTGCATCTCGAATACAAGTTTTTGCAACTCTGAAGCCTGGGCATCTGGCAGCACAGCAACACTCAGGTGATCAAACTTCATCTGTTAAATACCGGTTTTGGTCAATTAAAATGAAAAAATATCAACTGGTTGGCCATGCACCACACTAAAACCAGACTTGGTCATTTCCTAAGTCATTTCTGCCTTACGCTTTCTGTACTTCCCTCAATGAAGTGGACAGAAGGCAGACTGATCATTTCATTTTCTACCTCTGCTGACAATGTGGTAACACGGGCCTGCAACTGTCTGGATTAATAACTCCCAAGGAGTCTATTTACATACATTGATCATAAACCTGTTTTAAATTATATTTAGATATTAAAAAGCTACTAAGCCCCAAATATTAAGAATATCACAGACTTTTGTTTTAAATTCACCAAGCCTTAATTATTAAGGAGAAACATTACATTTTGCCTGCTGTTAGGAAAGTTTAAAAAAAAAAAGTGATGTTGTTTTATTTGAAAATGTAAACTGCGCATGTGAAATTATGTTTTCATCAGAGCAGAACTTTGACAACTGAAGCTATAAATCCAAGTAAATAGAAAGGAATGAAGGAAAAAATAAGATTTAAACTATTTTTCATAGCTTTTAAACTATCTGTAATTAAAAAAGGCAATGAAATATCACCACTTTTATCAGCAAAACACTTTATTGCTTTTTTTTTTAAATCATGAATAGGATCATGACCCTGACATCTACGAGCTAACTGGAAAAATCTTCCTTTTTTCTTCTTTAAAAGCATCTCAAATAATCTATATCTGTGGCTGTCACACTGTGGTAAATGGATTCCTGAGAGTCAATGGACTCTTTCTACCAGATTCAAGTAAAGTGACAGAAAAAAAAATATCCCATACGCTGTACAGAAAGTGACTAAAAGAAAAAAAAATTCCTACATGCTGTACAGCTATTTGCACATGTGACATTTATGGGCCTGTACCTCAGTTACAATTTCAGATTAGGAATCCGGGAATCTGAGTGTTTGCACTATATACGTCTCTATGCACACTATAAATGTGGTCATTTCTACCCAGTTTATACTTGTTTTAAACTTTAAAACAGAACCAGAGATCCCAGTCACTAATATCCTGGACTAAAATGCAAGACCTTTTTGCTCCAAGATTTGTTTTTGTTGTTTGTTTGGCTTTATTCCCTGACAGCTAGAGGCTGGTGCAGCTAACACACTAGGTGCCTCACCTCCTAATTAAAAAGTCATGTAAAAAAGTCACAAAACATACAAAAGACATAAATATGCCCACCTCCGCTCACAACTCTCTTGACAGGCTTTGTTAATGGGATGAAAGTTTGACAGAGCGGGGCACAGAGATCACGGCAGGGGGTAATTCCAGATGCTAAGGCCCTCCCAGAGGCAGGTTCTCAGCAGACACCTGGTTGACGCTGAGCACTCGCCAGCTCCGAGCGTCTCTGGTGATCTCATGGATGGCAACGTGACAGAGAAAAGAGATGATGTCTCATGCAGGCAGTTCCAACAATTCTCAGTTTTTCAGGTTAAAGCCAGTGTTTTGAATTCCAACTGAAGCCAACAAATACTGCGGTGCATTCTGCCGGTATTAATATCACACGCTAGCTTAGAATCTAAGGGGAAAATAGCAACTGGATTGGCCTAGACCACAGCACCTTCGAGTCTGTGGGAGCCTGACGCTTTCACTGGATTCTGAATCAGGTCTGGAGTCTGTCACCTCTAGCTTGTTCTTCCAAACTCAAATATATGAGAAAAGAGGATGAAACAACATCCAACTCCTAACCCCACAACCCTGAAACTCAAACACATCTCCAGACAAATACAAGATGAAGAATCTGGTCTTACAATCCCCAGTCCCCAAATTTATACACAGGTCTAAAAATACTACAATGCAGATTTCTGACAGCTTGTATCCCACCTCCTTCCCTTTCCCTACCCTTATACAAGACTAGACATGACAAAAACTTCTGTGTTTCCCCTATGGCCTTCATTTAAAGATTTCTAAGTTTGGTTTTTTTTTTTCTCCTGCATTATATCAGCTTCTACAATCACACCCAGAAGTGCTTAGCTTTGCACAGTTTGTCCCACTGGTAGTATTCATCCACGCACAGAGACTTAATTGCACGCAAGATTATGCAGGATCAAGCGCCTCAGCCACCTGCCTACAGAATTAATTTTACAAAGTTACACCAGACAGTGATTTATTGGAAGACTCCAAACAAGCCCAGAATCCAAGTTCACTTCTATGAAGCTTCCTCAAGACAAACTGCCCAGTCTCCAAACGGAGAGACAATCTTACATTTAACTTCAGGTTAAACAAATCAAATGGTTCGCTCAGGTATTCTGAAAGCTTGCTTTGGTTTTCATCTCCAAAGAATTGCAGCACGTTACGCGAAACTGCGTAACTCTTCCTGGAAAATACAGTAGTGGCTGAATCCAAGGTCTCTGGGAAACTTAAGCAGTTGAAAAGGGAGATCTAGATAGGAAACCATAATATAGATTTTCTGATAATCTTTCCTTTAGAAGATTTTAACCTCAGAACCAAAATACCTGTCAGAAGCCCAGGGCACCCTTGACAAAGCTCTTCCAGGCTGATTTTCTTATTAGTAGTCACGTGTACTAACATCATACCGCCGATGGAAAATGATTTTATTATGAACCTCAAGGATTTATTAACATTTCTAGAGCAACCCAGTAGGAAAGTCACACGTGCAGTGGGCCAGCCCCAGCTCTGCTCCACGGCCAGACTGGTGTTTAAGGGTGGGAAGACAGAGGAAAAACCACCTCCTCCCCCTCCCG